ATATTATCATAAGTGGAATGGACAAATATCAAACCTAGCCAAAGACTAAGACTCAAAACAAGTGCCCGAAAGATCTGGACCCAACAGCCTCTACTACGGCGCCGCTTCCATTCTGCTGAGTTCACCAGGGTGCTCCCGAGACCACCTCATGCGGATATTGAACAACTCAATCTTCACTTCAAAATAAACTAAGAGAAATTGATTACTGATATCCTCCCACAACTACTACGAATTTCTATAACAGTATTTAAAATGCTACAAACCGTCGATGCAATATGCCGCCTATATATTCTGCGACCTTGGCTTCTTCGAAGTGGCATACATATCAAAAGCGTCCATCTCTCGCGACGCGTCTGCAGCATTCACTAGCTCCACCGCGGTAGAATCATCAACAATCGTTTGCTGAGCAAATGACAGTATCACACCACATGCTGCCCACAGGCAAAATGCTAGAGTAAAAGCTGTGACACGATCGCCCACCAGCCACACCACCAAACACACAACTGCCGGCCCGAGACCCTTCCCTAGGTCGTCCATCAGCGTGAATGCAGCAAATACCGTGCCCCTTGTTTTAGCCGAATTTACATTCATGAGAATACCCTTGATATTCGGACCAGATACGGCAGCCAGACCGCCCAGAACAACCCATAGTGCGGGATAGGAATATCCACGCAATAATATAATCATGGGGGCCGGCGCCAACATATTCGTCAACGCTATGAATCTTGGCAAATCTTGTCGCCTATTGTTGTAAATACGCTGACCAATATCACCACCAAGCATAGAGAACACTAAACAGGAGACTCCGAAGGCAACAAGCACGCCAGTGGCCTGATGTACAGTCAAACTAAGGTCACTAGAGAGGTAGTCGGGGAGAAAAGTGCTGACCACAGACCACGCCATGCATCCCGGCAACGACTGGGTGAATAGTATCCGATTGGTCGGAACCTCCAAAACCGCCGAGAATTTCGACATGGTCAAATCCGCCAACCTGTATTAATGAGATCATTCAATACAGGGATAGCAACACTCCTACCTAAACCTAGTATGAGCCGACGCATCGCCTTCCCAAGGTGCCGAGGTCTCAGCCCCTTGTATTCCATACCACGCTCTCGCCGCTTCAGCTCGTCGCCTGACACAGCACGCTCAACTCTATGAATAACTGTACGCTCAACTCACGGCGATAGCGAGCCAAGATTAGCAGAGGGCCTCGTCTCGACTGGCAAGTAGTGACGGGACTTCTTTTTGTTTCCAACTTTTCTCGAAACTA